TCCATCTGCTGGTTCACTCCAAATGCCCACGATGGCCAGAGCTGGACCAGGCCAAAGCCGGGAGCCAGGAACCCAATCCTGGTCTCCCGTGTGGGTGGCAGGGACCCACGTACTCGAGCCATCAGCGCTGCCTCCCAGGGTGTGCGTCAGCAGGAATGCTGGATGGGAGCAGAGCCAGGACTCAAACCAGGCCCTCGGATGCGGAAAGCAGGAGTTCCGAGCAAACGCTCCCTCGGCCTCTTTTCAGAACATCCAGCCTCGGGGATGTTGTTCTCAAACAGGAGGAGCAGCGGGGGCCAGGAAGGCCGCGCTCAGCACACTGGTCGGAGGGCTTCGGCCACAGGTAACAAGCCAAGTGGGCGCGTTTTCGTGAGGCTTGTCTGCAGGTAGCAGCATCAACACTAACAGCAGCGCCGAGGTGAGATCCGAGCTTGTTTCTCTCCTACAAAGGCCCAGACATGAGTGGTCCAGGGCCCAGACATGGGCAGTCCAGGGCCCAGACATGAGTGGTCCAGGGCCCAGACATGAGTGGTTCAGGGCCCAGACATGAGCGGTCCAGGGCCCAGACATGGGCGGTCCAGGGCCCAGACATGAGTGGTTCAGGGCCCAGACATGAGCGGTCCAGGGCCCAGACATGGGCGGTCCAGGGCCCAGACATGTGCGGTCCAGGGCCCAGACATGAGTGGTCCAGGGCCAGACATGAGCGGTCCAGGGCCAGACATGGATGGTCCAGGGCCCAGACATGGACGGTCCAGGGCCCAGACATGAGCGGTCCAGGGCCAGACATGAGTGGTCCAGGGCCAGACATGAGCGGTCCAGGGCCAGACATGGATGGTCCAGGGCCCAGACATGGACGGTCCAGGGCCCAGACATGAGCGGTCCAGGGCCAGACATGAGTGGTCCAGGGCCCAGACATGGGCGGTCCAGGGCCCAGACATGGGCGGTCCAGGGCCCAGACATGTGCGGTCCAGGGCCAGACATGTGCGGTCCAGGGCCAGACATGGGCGGTCCAGGGCCCAGACATGCGCGGTCCAGGGCCCAGACGTGGGCGGTCCAGGGCCCAGACGTGGGCAGTTCAGGACCCAGACATGAGTGGTCCAGGGCCCAGACATGAGTGGTCCAGGGCCAGACATGCATGGTCCAGGACTAGCACAGAGCTCTGCTGCAGGAAATCCACAGGGACCCAGGCTTCTGTGGTCCTGTCACCCTGCTCCTCCTGAGTCCCTCTACAGACACCTCACTAAGACCACAGCTCCAGCCGGGCACACAGTCCAGCCAGCAGGAGCCGGAGGCCACAGCCCTCAACATTGCTGGCACTGTCTGGAGATGGCATAGAACACTTCTAACTACATCCCATCGGCCAAAGCTCAGCCACAGCACCTCATCTAGTTGCAAGGGAGGCTGGGAAATACCTTTATCATGAGAGTCATGTGGATAGCTAAAATTTATTGAGAGACACAGAGAGAGGGACACAGACATACACAGCAAGCTCTACCGGCTAATTCACTCCCCAAATGCCTGCAATGGTCGGCGCCAAGTTGGGACAAGCCAGAATCTGAGAACCCAATCCAGCCCCCCCCCCCCAGGTGGGTGGCAGGGACCCAAGTCCTTGAGCCAATCCCACTGCCTCCCAGGGTCTGCATGAGCGGGAAACTGGAGTTGGGGGCCAGAGCCGGGAATCAGACCCAGGTACTACGAAGTGGGACGCAGGCCTCTTAACTGCTGGATTAAATGCTCGCTCCTGGACAGCTCCAGGTTAGGAAATTCTGTCACTAAGACGAGCAGGGGAGACAGAGCTACAGTGATCCCAACGTCCCACTCAGAGAGTACGCGCGAGCATCCTTAGTCAGGACCACGGTGGCACCAGCAGGGACGTCCCCGCGGTGGCACGGGCAGACTGCACACCACGTGTCAGGCCAGCTCTGAGACTCCACGGCTTCCCACAGCCTGCTCGTCGAGAGGAAAGCTGGTCCCAGGCCTCACGGTCAGGTGCAACGAAGACCAGAGAACAGAGACGGAGCACCCTTCCCTGCCTCCTGCTTACAAGAGAAAGGTCTTTCCTAAAGCAGCCTCCAGTGTCACTGCCAGACCGCACCACCCCCGGGCATGGAGGCCGCAGCACCCACACAGGCTCAGACCAGTCAGCACCAGGCAGCAGGGGCCAGCAGGGGCCAGCAGGGGGCCAGCCTCTGAAGCCAAGGCTGCCTGGGGCACTGCAGCCCCCGACACCCGGGGTGCTGTGGTTGGAGAATGGGGAAGATGCTGGGTGGCCCCCAATAGCATCCAGTGAACTACATGGTCTCCACTTTCTTCCTGGTTCAGTGACCAGCCAGACGGCTCGAACCTGAGACTCCCTGGTCAGACCAGTCTTATGCCAAGGCAGGTGTGGGAGTGTGACCCCCTAGGTGGAGGGGCCGGCACCGGGGCCCAGCTCCCCTGCCCCTACCCTGCCGAGGGGACAGTGGAATCAGGGTGGATTTTACCGGGAGCCATCGCACTTAACCCTTATGGGACAAACAGGAGAGAACTCCCCGGAGAGAAATGCATGCTGGTTTTAAGCTGAATCTCATTTCTTTAGAAACATCGGATCACTGATGAGCATTTCAGAGGAAGCCGCTGGGCCTTCTCGGGGTATGTGTGACTAAGTCCCCCACAGCAGAAGTTGGCACATGCCCATCCCCCACCCCGGGGCCCGGTTACAGCCCCGCCTCCAGCAGGACTCCCCTGTGGGCGAGCTTTCTCTCTCTTTGATTCAAAACCAATTCAATGGGCATTTTTCAAAGGAAGACAATTCTGGTTAAAACAGGGAAGCACATTTTGAAAGTTCTATTCCAGGCAAACCAAGGGTTTTACAAGAAACAGAGAGGGGAGAAGCGTGCCGTACGGCCCGCTGGTGCTGGACCCTGCCAGCGCCCTTCCGTCTGGGCCCGAGCCGGCCGGCAGAGGGCACCGGGCTGTGATCGCCCAGTCTGGGCACAGGAGTGGCTTATCCAGGGAAGTTCCCGGAAGGCCTCTGGAACCCGTTCTAAAAATACACACCGTCGTGAGAGAATCTCAAAGCCAACATCTCAGAAATGAAGCAACTCCTTCCATACCTGTGCCTCTACCTGGAGGTCGGCAGAAGCTTCAGGAAGAAAAATGCAGGTGACGCAGATGACTTTGTCACCGACCAAAGGAGAGCGGTCTAGAAGTACAGCCTGGTCCCACCCCAAGCCACGAGCACACCGGCAGCGCGGCTGCTTCCAGCTCGTGCCCCACAACCCCACCAAACCCACGCCCTGGGCATCCACCGGCTAGTCTCCTGCGCTCAGAGTTAGCAGGCTTGAAAGTTCCTGTCGCACGCCAGTAGCTTGCAAGGCTGCAAAATCGTACAGCGGCCACTTCATGAGAAATCTTACAGTTGTGCCTTAGCTTTGCAGTCACTCTCTCCACTGTCTCACTGTAACTCACACGTAGCTCGGGGAGGGCGCGGGGTGCACACGGGCTCCGGGTCTGCTGGGCAGCACGGGCTTCAGAGCCATCCGAACGGCACAGCCCGGGACTTCCATGGGCTCGGGTGCTTACGATCCACAGCCCCGGGCCTTTCTCCCAGGGTGAAGCAATGCCCTGGCAGCAGTCACTCTTCTCCCCCTCCCACTCCTCGAGAGCGTTCCGGTCCACAGAACCAGAGGCCAGCCCTGAGCGGGGCTCGGTGTCGCCACTCTGCCACCCGGCCGGTTGTGGCCTTACTCATTCACACACGGTTCCCTGCACCCGCCTCACACCTCTGGCCGTGTGATAACACACTTCCCTGCTTGTAAAAAACACCAGGAGCGTCGCTTTGCCAACAACCAGTGCACACCCCTTCTCACCTGCCTCTGGCCCCTACCCTCTGGGGGAAACCAGCAGGTCCCCGAAAGCTTGAGACAGAGCAGCTTGGACCCAGCTTCTTCCACTTCCCCCTCTCAACACCACCGGGGAAGGGACTTGGCGCAGGCTCCGTCCCCTGGCGGCACCGCCAAGCCTGCGGCCCTGCAGGAATCTGGAGATCCAATCCCGGGACTTGGCGAGGCCGGGCCCTGATTTGCGCTCCTTCTAAAGCGCGGTGACTGAAAACAAACACGCACCGAAGACCCCAAACGCACGCTTTCCTCTCAGGAAGCGGCTCAAGGCCAAGAGGAGAGGCCAGGAAGCGCTCAGCCGATTCTGCAAAGAATTAGGGGAAAGCCCAGGGGCTAAAGCCTAGCTTGGGAGGTGTTTCCGCCGCCGGAAGCACACACACAGAATCCAAGGCGACCGAAAGTCAGGTGTGACACGCAAAGGCTTGCGGGCCGGGGTCCCCAAAGCCCGGCAGCCCCGCGGAGAAAGGGTCGGGGGTCCGGGCAGCGCCGGCCGCCCGGTGGGTTTGCGCTCCTCTGGCCTCTGCTCTCTCACTCCACCCCCTCAGCCTCTCTTACAAAACCTGCCGGTTCCTCTTCTTCCCCTTTGCGGGGAGGGAAGGGACCCGCGCAGCCCAGGAAGGCGACGCCGCCGCCCTTTCTGCGCGACCGTCCGGCGGTGCCGCACCCGCTCCGCGGCCGGGAGTCCCCAGGGAAACCTCCAGGCTGGAGCGACGGCCCCGAGCTGACCCGCGCCAGGTGCACAGGGCGTCGCCCGCCGGGCCTGCGCCTGCGCCTGCACCTGCACCTGCCTCCCGCAGCGCCTCTCAAGGCTTTCCCCCCGCAGGCTCGCGGGCCCGCGGCCGAGCTGCCCTCCCGCCGGCTCCAGGACACCCGCCCGGGTCCGGGGACGCCCGCGCCCAGGTGGAGCCCGGGACGGCCCCGCCGGGGTCCGGGGACGCCCGCGCCCAGGTGGAGCCCGGGGCGGCCCCTCCGGGGTCCGGGGACGCCTGCGCCCAGGTGGAGCCCGGGGCGGCCCCTCCGGGACCCGGGGACCCCTGCGCCCAGGTGGAGCCCGGGGCGGCCCCGCCGGGACCCGGGGTTCGCCCGGGACGCCGTGCAGCAGGCGGAGACGGGGCGTACCTCGGATGTAGGCGCTCCGGGCCTCGTCCAGCTGGCTGGAGGCGGCGCCGCCCATGGTCGTGGTGCGGCGGGCGCGGTGCCGTGCGGTACCGGGCGTAGCGGGCCAGCTAGCTGGAGAGCGCCGACCGCGGCTCCGGGCTAAGGCGGCCTCTTCAGCGGGCGCCGCCCCCTGGGCGCCTCCCCGGCCGCGCCCCAGCGCCTGTGCGGCCGCCTCCCGCCCCTTCGCGGTCGCTCCGGAGCCGCCTCTGCCGGGACTTCCCGCCGGCTGGTCGCCGACCTGCGGCGGCCCAGAAACGCCGTGGAGGGAAAGGACGGCGTCCCGGCCACTGTAGGCCTCCAGATGTCTGTGAGCCGCTGGGCTAGGGACCCCATCGCTCTGCACGCTCCACCCCCCCACCCAGGGAGAAGGCTGGCCTCCACCAGCTCCACCCGTGCCCCTGTGCACCTGCGCACCTGTACACCTGAGCCCCCCCCCCATGCCACAGAAACACGGTCCACACACACCCCTACAAACACACGCCCTCCACACACACCTGTACACACACACAACCCTCCACACAGACACATACTCACCTTCCACACATACACACCTCTACACACCCTTACACACTCCATCACATGTCTACACGCACAGCCCTACACACATACCTCTACATACACATACACCCTCCACACCCACACAGCTGCACACTCTACACACACACACGGCACCCTTGCCACAGCCCCAGTCAAAAGCTCTGGCTGGGGACCAACCGCCTGCCTCCCCAGCCCTCTGGGGATTCCTGGCGTGGCTTGTGTCCAAGAATGCTTTGGACAGTGCCCACCTGGAGCCCAGGAGGTGGTCCAGGGCTGGCGAGGGTGGGAAAACACAGGGGGCACCAGGGCTGGGTACACCTGGGGAGGCCGACGACCGCCCCGGAAACACCTGTGGGCCAGGAGGAGACTGTATGGTGGCTCCCCCACGGTCACCAGACCAGCCCTGGGCAGGAATCAGGACTCTGTCCTACCAGCTTACCCTCGAGGTCAAAGGGTCTGAGGCCTCTGAAGCCCCTCCTCCTGCCCCACCAAGTTAATTTCCTAACCAGACCGGATGTGCATCACAGCTCACACCCCGAGATCCTGCCTGTCAGTCCCGCTTTCCAGCTGTGTCCAACCAGCTCTCTGCCCGCCCCCCCCCCCCGCCCCATCACCGCCTCCCCTCCAGCAGGACCACAGCCTCCTAACTGTCATGGGGGAACTTGCACAGAGCCCACCCGGCCTAGGCCCGCCTCCCCTGCCCTCCTCACACCCGCTGGCCCTCATGGTCCCACGGCAGCCTCTCTGCTCTTCCCAGGACCATCACCCCAGGGCCATGCGCCTGCTCCTCCTGGGCCCACCCTGCTCCTCTCTCCGACCTGCACGCGGCTCCCAGCCATCCAAGGCTCCACTTAGATGCCGATTGTCCCCCTCGCCCCCAGCCCTGGTCTCCCCGGCACTTCCCGGCCCTAACACACTTCTCTGTCCTCCCCCACTGGGACGCACGCGCTGTAAGCTCAGGGGTTCTCTTTGCTGCTGCTTCGTGAGTTCTGTCTTTACAAGTCTTCATTTCCTCCATCTGCTTTTATTATTTTCTTTCCCAGAGACAGGAATTTGCTGTCCTCGGATCCGACTCGAACACTGAGGACTGCACGTGGCTCACAGCGAGTGCCTGATAGCCAGGCGCCAGGCAGAGAAGGCGGGAGCAGGACGTGGAGAGAACAAACCGCTTCTCCAGATAACCTCTCCCTCGTCTCAACTCCTCGGTCCCGACTCTTCGCCCCCAGACAATTAGGGGTGTCTTCATGGAGCAGTGCTGTAACTGTGCCCTGGAGCACTGCAGCTGTTCTGTTATTGAAGAAAACTCAGTCAGATCCCCGGCCAGAAGGAGGAGGAGCTCTGAGTCCCCCATCTGTCTGTCTTTCTCACTGGTGGCACCGCCCAGGAACCGGGGTCAAGGGAGGATGTGTGTGGGGCGATGTTAGCGGGCAGGTGAGCTGGAGGCCCATCTCCGAGCTGCTCGGTAGACTCGACCTGGGTGAGCCGCTTACCTGTCTCCATCTCGGCACTCACACCGGGGCTCATGCTGGGGGCTGCTGTCAACAGGGAGTCTGCTTGAGTCTGTGAATTCCCCAACACCCCCCGCGGGCACACTAGGTGCTTGTTCAATGGAAGCCAAGATTTTATTACCAGGAAGGGCACAAGTGACCACTGGACCTCAGAAATATTGATGTGACATTTAGAAAGAGGTGCTTCCCCCCCCCACTCCCAACAAATAAAGTTCTGCCCCACCATGGTTTGTAGGAAAAAATGAAGAAACTCATTATTTTAGTCATAGTATTTAATATCCACAAATCCTATGTGAGTATCGTTTTATTAATCACACACTAAGAATGGGTCTCCAAGCAATTCAATAACTTTATGAACCAGATTCAATTTCACAGGATTCAAGTCAGCTAATTTAGAAAAGGTCCTATGCCGTGTTAGCTTCAGCACTCTCTCAGTGTATTTTGTATTAAAATATTCTTAAGACCATTTCAGGTAAATATCACAAAATGAAATGATTCCTTTTTTAAAGATTCATTTATTATTTGAAATGCAGAGCACCAGAAAGAGGGAGAGAAACAGAGAGAGAGAGAGAGAGAGAACTCTTCCATCCATTGGGTCCCTCCCTGAATGGACACAGCAGTCAGGGCTGGGCCAGGCCAAAGCCAGGACCCTGGAACTCCATCCGGGTCTCCCACATGGGTAGCAGGGTCTCAAATGCTTGGGCCGTCCTCCGCTGCTCTTCTGGGTACATTAGCAGGGAGCTGGATCAGACGTGGAGCAGCCAGGACTCGAACCAGCGCTCTCATAGGGGATGCTGGGTTCTCAAGTGGTGGCTGAACCTGCTGCACCACATGCCAGCTCCAAGTCTCCTTTTAAGTTGAGAAATGTTCGTTTAATGTGATTTTCAAATAGGGGTCATTGCAGTTTTATGAGGACCTGCAGCATTGCATAGGACCTGTGACTGAGTAGAAGCCCGAATATTTTACAAACCTATGCAGGCTTAGAACTTTGGGTGACAGGATCTAAACCAGAGGGCTGTTGGGGTGAGTGGGCACCAGTCCTCCAATCCCACGGAGACCAGCCCAGTGCCGTGGCCCCGTGAAACTCCAGGCACCTGCTTGCCACGTAGAAGCAGATGCTGGGACTTCCGAAGGCAAGGCTCGCCCAACCTTGCTGCTTTAGTTCTGGTGCGCCAAGGGGAGAGCGCCACCTGCTGGACCACTGGTGACACGCCGTGCGGGCCAGGGCCCGGGCAGTGAGGGAAGACACGCCGACTCCCTGCCAATCAGCGCCCCAGGCCTGCGCCTAGACCCACTCTTTCTTAGGAACAGTAAGATTCGAGCCTCTTCCCCTGGGCAGGTGAAGGAAGAACCCTTCTAGAACAGAGCCTTGCCCAAGGGGTGAGTCTGTGATTTTACATCCTGAACTTGTACTTCCTGCCAATCAGGGGTCAGCAGCTGCTGAAGCCGGGGCCTGCGTGGGCAGACCGTGGACCTCCCTAGGCATTCGGGAACTAGGGGCCTGGCTCGTGGGGGGGCCGGGGACCTGCTAGCACTCATGTGGCTTAGATTCGCTGTACCCAGTGCTAAAAAGATGAGCTAGTTTTTCCCATGCTCCACAAACCGAGGGCAGACCACGCCCACAGCATTCTCTGAATGTCTGCACTCACGGGCAGGCAGAGGGGTCCAGGCTTCCATGCTGTGGGCGTGGGAAGAGGACACGCTCCACCTCGGCAGGATGCGTTAAAAACATCTTTGTCCACACTGCCTTAAGTTCTGTGTCTTATTTGGGCACGGTCCATTCGTTTATGCTACAAATGATAAAAGCCATCGTGTTAAATCCTTTAAGCTGAATTCATTGGGTCAGATTGCATCCCTCCGAGAATTTGGCTAAGATTAGCTGGCTGCTGGAGCGGGCGCAGAGACAAGGATGGAGGGAGCGAGGCGGCCAGGGCCCCCGGGCCCCTGGCGCCCAGCATGCTCTCCCGCTGTCCACACTGCGGCCGCCAGCAGCCTGCCCACTGTTTCCCACCGCGTCTCTCGCTGGGAAGATCTCTCCTCCTGGAGTTGATTCACTGGTAGGATTTGCATCTCAGGCCGCTGGGGGGCATTTGTCCACCAGAACGAAAACCCCTGGTTGGCAGAAAATGTTGGATGGGAAGATAGAACTCAGCCTGTGTGTGAATGGGGCCTCAGGAAAACCAAGCACTGCAGAGGGAGGGCAGCAGCCTAGCGGCTTGCCCTACACAGTCCTGCCCATCCCCCGACAGCTGTACAGGTGGGCCCAGCCCTCCACGCAAGGAAGGCACCCCTGCTCGGCACCAGGGGCCACCCAGTCTGATGGGCCTGGGAGAAAAATCTCACTTATTGCGCACCCAGCAAACCCTTTGTCCAGGAGAAGGGGAGTGGGGGAGAAACAGCGGGAAGACCTGGACCCCAAGCCCTTAGAAGCCCAGTCCAGATGCAAACTGGGCTCTCAGTGTGCCTCTGCAGAGATGCCCGCCCGGCCTGTCAGGTGCAGTCTCCCTTTCTGGTTTTGTAAGCTCCTTCCCACTCTGACTAGGCACGCCCCCTCAGGCCCAGGTGTTCTGAGAGGCCCCGCCCACCAAACCCTGTCTCCTTGCTGACCGCTTGGCTCTGCCTCCGGCTGGGAAGACAGGAGCTCCACTACCAGCAAGACTTCTCTGACCACCGCACGTTACCGAGCCCTGGCGTCCAGGTGCCACGCCGCCGCCAGGGCTCCCAGTTCTGGCTGCCGAGCACATTTGAATGGGACTTCTCTCTTCCTATCCCCCCCCAAAGCATTTTCACAATACGAGGTTTACCTATAGCGCTGCGATGCGTGGTAAAGCACTGTGTAGCTGTGCCCTGTCCTCTGGGGTCATGATTCAGGCTTGTACTTATGAGCAGACAGGAGCCCTGGGTGAGGCCAGCGTACGCCCTCACGGGCAGCCACCCACGGTTCTCACTCGTGTCATTTTCAGATTCCAGAATGATCTATTCTCACCCTAGACATTTGATTAAGTGTTGACCATACTTTACACATTAATTCCAACCTAGCTTTAAAAGCAGCTGGCTCAGATTTTGGCAAGAGAATTAGCGGTC